GTAGCGACGCAAGCAATTTGAGACAAACTCAAGGGAGGTGGATGGCAGCGGCTGCCGCGCGTTTCTTTCCGGGAAAAGGTGTCGCCGCCCGCGTTGATGCGCGGGCTCCGCGCTCGCCCCGCGCCGGCCGAGCAGCGCTGGGGACCGCGCGGAGCCGCCGGCCCCGTCGCGGCCGCGCACACAAACCCGGAGCGCTCTGAATCCCCGGAATTCTCTTCTAATACCTTAAGATAATAATAATAATAATACAAACCCGGCCGATTCCTCCACAAGCGAATTTTCATAGACTTCTGTACGGTGATTGCCTTGCGTGAAATCGTGTTTGGGTAATAATATTGAAAATCAGTGCGGTGTTTACTTTATTCCATACCTAACAGCTTGTTCTGCCCGGTGCCGTACTCCTCTTTAGATCCCTCTCTCAACCCATGCTGTGAGTACCCTCCAGTAACAAACAATCGCTTAGCAACACTATGCAGCACAATTTGCTTGTGTTTCGTTTGTTATTGCAATTTTATCCCGGCCTCGTGTGACGGCTGATGGTTTGTTTAGCGCAATATAACGGGTGCAAAGTTAGCGAGGAGCGGATGCCAAATAGGAAACTCCTAGAGCAGGCTTCACAAAGTGAGTATCAAGACAGGCGCTTCCACGGGAAGACTTCTAAGATTAAAGAAAAAAAAAAAAAAAAAGAAATGAATAAAAATGAAAGGAATAAAAAAGAAAGGAATAAAAAAAAGTTATTTTTTAAAGGTAAGAAGTTATTTGAAAATGATGTCTATGCAGTAATTAGGAATAAGTGGGGAGCATTGCAGCGTGCTTGAGCGTACGCTTTTTCTCACAGCCTTCCAGACCGAAAGCCGCACGGCGAAGGCGAACGAGGGCCCAGTAAAGGCGGGATGGATCTCACCGGGTAGGACATTGAGCCGGGTGACGGCGCGGAGCCCCCGCGGTGCCTAATTTCGTCCCGCGGTCCCTGCTCCCACCTGCAGGACTCCCCTCGGAGCCGAGACGAAGCCGCGGGCGAGCGGTGAGAAGCGCGGAGAAGCCGCGGGACCCGCGTGCGGGGCGGCCGCGCTGCGCCCCAGACAAACAACCTCACCAGCAAACCCGGCCAAAACGCGGCTCTCTGGCGAATAGTTTCACTACGCATCAAATTAACAAAATCCGCACGAAGATTGAATCCAAAAGCCGGGGGCGGGGGAGCGTATGACATTGATCGCCAAATAAACTGAAGCAAAGGAAGCGATGAGAATAATTAGTGACATTGCCGATGCACGTAAAAAGTGAAACTAACCCAAGTTTTCCTGCTTATTTCATTAAAGCTCATACGAATCTTTTACTAGAAATTGGTTTTAGCTTTCGATCGCTTTCGGATGCAGTTATAAATCCCCGAATAGCCAGCGAGAGAAAGACTCTGACAAACTGAGAGTACGCGCTAACGAGGATATTCTTTGTTGAGGAAAAAAAAATAGTGTGTTCCTCGTGAACGGACCTTAATGGCTTGTTTTCATTTCATGCGTACAATTTCCTACCTTCTTTGATGGAGAGTTGATGGGGTAAATAGTCTAATCTTATTCAGTTCACCTCCTGCGGATTCCCAGTGACAGTCGTGACAGACGAAGTATTCTGCAAATCACAAGAGCCAGCTACCAAGAGAGCCAAACGTGTTAATAGAAAGAGTTTTAAGGACTTGAAACCACTCCACTGTAAATGCAAGGAACATGCAGAATATAAAGTTGCCCGTATCATCACAACTCTATAGTCTTTGTTGCCTAAGCTAGAAAATGATGAACACAAGAAAAGAAAAGAAAAGAAAAGAAAAGAAAAGAAAAGAAAAGAAAAGAAAAGAAAAGAAAAGAATAGAAAAGAAAAGAAAAGAATAGAAAAGAAAAGAAAAGAAAAGAAAAGGGCATCAAAATCAAGTCAGAACACCTACCAGTCTCGGGAATTTGAGATGGCACTTGTCATTAACCTCACGGCTTGTTTAAAAACAAAAAGTGAGACCTGTCCGGATCTGAACGTTTGAAAAAAAAAAAAAAAAAAAAAAAAAAAAAAGGCATCCTAGTTCCACCAGGTGATCTGGGAAAAGACAAAGAGGAATAAAAATGTTCATTTTCTCACTCAGTAAGAGCAGACATTGTCACTTCACCATTTAAAATTTTAATCGGAAAAAAAAAAAAGTATAAGCGTATTCTTAAATGCTGCTTCACGTATCCGAGCCCGAGGATGCAAGATTCAAACCGTACCACAAACACATTTTTTTCTTTTCTTCTTTTTGGGGGGGCGGGAGGGGAATTCACACTTGTATTGAGTTTATTTTTTAAAAAGTGCTTCCTAACCACTTCGAAGCAGTAATAATGAATCTGAGCCGCAGACAGAGGAAATCGCACCCACTAATGTGAACTAACAGCAGCAAAGTAGGTGCATAATAGACAAGGCTAGGAGCTGCTAACCACTTCTGCACAATGGCATTAATAAGATTAACCTGGGCAATTAGCCGGTGCAGCGGAGATCAAGCCTAAAACTGGGGCCTTTCAAAAAAAGCCCACTAATGTAAAGGATTAGGTTAATTTCATTAATTCTCAATACACAGACCCAAGCTCCTTTCACTCCTTTGTGTAACCCTCACCAAAAGGGGGGGGGGGGGAGAATCAAATCTGGTTTTGTTTGTCATCTGCATATTACCAGGAACTAAATCCAGGATGACGTCGCCTGGGTATAAAAAAGGGAAGAGGTTCGCATGGATTATACTCCATGCAGCCCTCCGGCTTGAGATCAGTAAACAGGCGAGAGTTGAGGGGGGAAAGTTGCAGGGGAGGGTCCTGCGCACACGCACACACCCGCACTCGCGCTCGCACACTCTGCCCGCAAGCCACCCTCGGAATAAGCTCCGCTCCTCGCGCTCCGCTCCCCTTTTAATTTTTTTCTCCGAAAAGTTTCGATTTCGCCGCTCGGCAGCCTTCTTCCCCCCCCGCCCGCCCCCCCTCGCTGCTCCACGGCTCCACCACCGCCACCTCCCCCGCGTGCCCTCCCTCGGCCGGTGCCCGCTGCCCTGCCCGGCCCGGCTCGCTTGGGGCATGCCCGTGAGCATGTTCAGCATCGACAACATCCTGGCGGCCAGACCTCGCTGCAAGGACTCGCTCCTGCTGCCCCCGAGCGCCGCCGCGCCCGTCGTCTTCCCCGGCCTCCACGGGGACTCGCTCTACGGCAGCGCCTCCGACTACGGCGGATTTTACTCGCGGGCCGTGGCCCCCGCCTCCAGCCTGCCGGCCGTCGGCGGATCTAGGCTCGGCTACAACAACTACTACTACGGGCAGCTGCATGTGCAGGCGGCCCCCGTGGGCCCGTCGTGCTGCGGCGCCGTGCCGCCCCTCGGCGCACAGCAGTGCTCCTGCGTGCCCGCCGCAGGTAAGGCGGCCCCGCCGACCGCACCGGGCCGGGTCGGGCCGGGTTGGATACGGCGGGAGACTCCGCGGAGCGCGGCGGTGCCCGGGGGCCTCTGCGGGACGGGACAACGGGGGCGACCGCGCTTTCTTTGTCCCGGAGCTGCGGGGTCCGCGGAGTGCGCAGCCCTCGGGGAGCTCCGTGGGTCTGTTCGGAGAGCCCTCCCTGCCGCAGCCTTATGCAAAGCGTGTCCTCCTCTTGTCTGTCCGCCTGCAGGTTACGAGGGCACCGGCTCGGTCCTGATGTCCCCTGTCCCCCACCAGATGCTGCCCTACATGAACGTGGGCACTTTGTCCCGCACGGAGCTGCAGTTGCTCAACCAGCTGCACTGCCGGCGGAAAAGACGGCACCGGACCATCTTCACGGACGAGCAGCTGGAGGCTTTGGAAAACCTCTTCCAGGAAACGAAATACCCAGACGTAGGCACCAGGGAGCAGCTGGCCAGGAGAGTGCACCTAAGAGAGGAGAAAGTGGAGGTATTTCTGCTTCCCTTCGCCGCCTCCGACCCTCTCCCCTTCGCGTTTGAACGCGAGCGGAGCCGCGGCTGCAGGCTCGGCTCGGCCCGGCCGCGGCGGGGGCAGCCGGTTTTGGGGAGGGGGACAAATCTCCGCGGTTCCGTTCCGGGCCGGGACACCGTCCTGAGCGTGCTCCTGCTGACGCGGCTCCGTTTCTCACAGGTTTGGTTCAAAAACCGCCGGGCGAAATGGAGACGGCAGAAGCGATCGTCCTCGGAGGAGTCGGAAAACGCCCAGAAATGGAGTAAAGCGTCCAAAACGTCCCCGGAGAAGCGGCAGGAGGACGGGAAAAGTGACTTGGACTCGGACAGCTGATGGCCGCGCCGGGGAGGACGTCTCCCGTGGACTGTAGGACTTGCTCCCGAGGATGCTACTGTCTTGCACAAACTCTGCCTTGTCGGAGAGGGGGAAACAGCAACAACAACAAAAAATCTATCTTATCTATCTATCTGTATATAGCGTACGTGGGCCGCGCCGATCTCGTGTAAATAAACGTGTTGCCGAGGTGTTGCACATGCGGGCGGCGGCGCCCTGCTCTGTCCGGCCTTCCGCGCCTCGCGGGGGCGAACACGCGCCCAGCGGAGCGGGACCGGGCGGACACGCGGCGGCTCCTTCCCCACCGCGGGCGCGGGGGGCGGCGGGGGGCAGCAGGGAGCCCCGGGGCCGGCCCGCCCGGCTCTTTCGCCCCCGAGGGGGCGGCAGGTGCCAAATTGCAGCGGCCGTGGGCCGGGCTGGGGCTGGCCGAACCTCTGCCCCCTTCCGAGCCTCTCACCCGAGCCGCCTGCAATAATGTTGATCGTTTAATTTATTTTCTTTCCTTTCTCCTAACGGAATGCCTGTGGAGAGTCCCCCCTCCCCACCCCCGTCGCTCTTTGGTCAGCGCTTCTGCGCTCCTGCCGCGCAAGCCTGAGTAGAGCGGGAAGGGACACGCTTAGGAAATACCTGCTTGTGATTTTGTTTGGTTTCTTTGTGCTTTTCTTGCTCGTTGTCTGGAGTTATGCACCCCGTCGAGTTTCCAAAGAGTTTGTCTTTGACCCCTGCTTAGAAAGGCTGTCTTGATACATCAGTGTATTACAATTGCTGCTAATAATTTTCAGTGATTATCAGGTGAGCTGCGCATAAGAGGAGGTACAAGCCCGTGCATACTGCTCATGGGGATGCTTACTAGGAAGCTGCTAACGGGTATTTTCTGCCCTTGGAGACAGCGCCTTGGTGTTTTGGAAAGTAGGGATAGCCTCATGTCATCTTTCTCTCTACAAGGACCTCCTAATAAAGATATCTATTCTCCCTACAAAATTCACATGAATTTCGCTCTTTTTTTTTTTTTTTTTTTTTTTTTTTTTTTTTTTTCTCTCTGATGCCCATACTCTTCACACTTGTCATCCTTCCAGAGCTGAACTACATGTGAACCACCACTCCACGGTAATTGTTCACTTGTATCGTGATTTCCTTGCTCTCTAGAACGGCTCTCTAGAAAGTCAAAGCAATTGCTTGAAGGTGTGAAGTCGGTGCAGATAACCTGGTGCTGAAAATCTTCATATTGTGGCCTGCTTTCAGAAATGCAATGCAGAAATGCAACTGAGCTGATTCATTTTCACTATAGCCAATGCCTGAACTGATCCATATCAGTTCAGCTCTCCTAGGTTAGACAAAACATTGGTTTATACAGATGCTCACACCGTTGCTTCAAGCGATATCAACAGCAGTCAACTTCTGTGTTGAGTGTGCTCGGACTTTTTCTTCTCTTTCTGATATATCCAGTTTTATATAGGCATTGTAGCATGGTGTGTATTCCGGGTGTTAGTACAGTAGACAGGATCTCAGCAGTTGTCGGTAGAGATGACATTTCCTAATGTCACTGTGTTTCCTTAAAGATGTGGTCACTTTCTCAGAGCAATTGCTCCCTGGTAGGAATAGCTGCAGGGGAGCAAGTTAGGTGTAGGTTTTGTACGAGTCAATCCTTTAGGGGCTTACAGTTTCATAGCTACTGCTCTCTAGAAGAGAAGAAATTTAGCCTCTTTTTTTCCTTAGCACAGCAAAGAAGGAAGGAGGGAAGTAACTTCTCACAGGATTCTTCTTCGAGATAGAGCATAATTCGTCTCTGCAGATCTATTGCGTTTTGGAGACACTGCTCTATTGCTGCAGATGCGTATCTGATCTCTGTAAATGGTATTGAATTACAGTTCAGCAGCACTGAAAACTGGTTTTCAAGTGTAAGAAGTGTTTTGTTATGTTACATGCAGGAAGTCTTCCTGAGTGGATTTTTAATCTGTCATCTCCTATGTATTTAGTCATTGTTAAATTTTAAAGTGAATACTCAATTTGCAAATAAAAGTCAGGTCTAAGGATAGCATTGCCCAGGATTTTGCACATGCTGATATATATTCTTTACTTTGCATACATAAATAGCCTTATGACCACTTTGGGAAATAAGTGGTATTTTTTTCCTTTGTGTGTGTGTGCATGAATGCAGTGGGGCAGTAATTTTAGAAGTCACTATAAGGATTTTAGCCTCCGTAGCTTAATGTGTCCGTTAAGCTGGAGTGGGCTTTACCTATGTTCTTGCTAAACAATAGCAGTTACATAGGATTGTAATTCACAGCTTTGGAGATGTTTAGACTTTTCTAGTGTGAGTAAAGTGCTCAAGGACTATGGAAGTTCAAGGTCCCAGAACTTTTCTCTGTAAGAATGCATTGTTACATAAAAATTAAAATTTTGTGTTACAAAACAAGTTTCCATGCATAGTATTGTGATAAAGTCATCACTGATTGCTTTAACTTCATGTTGCATCTTAATTAGAGTTAATTTTAAAGTTTTTGCTAAATTCTTGATAACCATGAACTTGATCTTGCGATCATTGGTGTCTCTTTTATTAAAAAATACCTATACTAAACTACATATACCATGTATATGTACTAACTACATATAGATATATGTCTCCTGGAGTTAATAGCATTTTAAAATCTATTTGAAAACATTTTTAATGTTCACTTAAAAGATTTACATTATTTACTAAACATTATTTGTGCCATTAGAGAGTAGGATTATCTATCTGACTTATTCTCAATTTTGTGTGGAGAAAACATAAAAGGCTTCTTTTTTTTGCACTACAAATCAGATTCTATCATGTCTGAAAGGCCCTAATAACTAAAGAGAAGGAAGAATGTGGCAGCAAAAGAATCAAGAAAGTAGAAAACTAAGTGATTGAAAGTGAGCAGAAGTTGATAGTAAGATCACTCTCTCGTTCTTGTTTGGTTGTCTTGGCTGTAGGCCTTTTTTAAATTTATTTATTTTTTATTTTAGGATAATCCCTACAGACTGAAATGCAAGTGGCATAAAGCTACTTTCATCATTTTCTTTTGGTGTAGTAGGAGAAAGACAAGGCAAGAATCCACGCATTTTCTAAGATTCAACAGGTTCAGTTCTAACAAGGGAGCTCTGAAAGTGTTATTTGTGGTGGTCGATGTTAGTACTTGCATAAGAAGGAGAGAAAAAAAAATTTTTTTGGCCATGTCTCTGACCATGTAATTAGCAGATTTGCATCTTACTAGAAACCGAACTTCAGAGACTTAATGTGACAGAAAACTTTGAAATACTCCATTGTTCAAATATTTAAGGGGATTCTGCAATAAACTGGTGTTTTTGAGAGCATGTTAAAAAAAAATCTAGTATTGAAAAGACGCTGCTGGGCTGAATCCTAGATTTTCCAGCATTTTTTTTTTAATAGATATTTTTATGATTGTTAGTAAAATGAACCCAATCTCAGATCATCTCCATTATTTTATGGGCCATAGTGGCAAGACCATTTTTCCTTTCTGACCTGTAGAGAATGAAGTACTTTTATTCTAAAACAGCACTAATAAGAACATAGTTAATTTTTGATTTATTATTTAAAAATAGAGATGTAATACTGCTTTCTTTGTCTTTCTTCTGCTACTAACCTGGTTGAAAAGGGCTGAAGTTGAATAGTTGCAGCTCGAGAGAGTGAAGAGTTACTACAGATGATAGTTACAGGGGTAATAATCAAATATTTAAGGGTTAATAATCAAATAATTATATTAAAGGAACATATACCAAGTTAAGATAGTAAGTTGTTTTAGGATACAAAATTCTTGGCAAGGCAAGTGGTAGAAAGTCATAACCTGAGACACTGAAAGTTAGAGCAAATTCTTGCAGAGAAGGTTTCTGCCTCATAGAGAGTAATTGAAAAATCTGAGGTGTATCTTCATCTGTACCTTGTGTATTTAGACGGCACAAATATATGTTTGTTTTTAGTGTCTTATTTATCATATTCCTTCTTGTAGTCTTGTAATAAGTAACATCGGAAAACACAGATTTTGGCTGACACGAAGTGATTTAATACCAGTTGAAAATCTTAACCCTATTTTTTTCCAGTTTTACTAGTACTTGAGTGAACTGAGCTTGAGCTTTTATCGTAATGGGATCCTGGGAATATAAACCATGCAAACTGTCTTGCACATGACTTGTGAAACAAACATTTGGATTAGTGGAAATTATAAAAAGAATTGCAACATTAAGGTGAGTTCATAGTTTTTGTGGTCCATCTGCATTTATTGGTTCTCTGAGGTTATACACCATGGTGCATAAATGAACAAAAAGAAAACCCAAAGACTTTTTGTTTTGTATTCTCACCCTTAGGGTTTCATTCTATTTATACTTTATGTTTTCCTACTTTGGAGACCTGGTGAGTCTTGACTACATCTAGACAGAGAAGTTTAGTCAAATTACTCTGTTTCTCTGGGGTTACCACTTGCCCTGATTTGATATACAGAGTCTATTATACAAAACTAAGAGGTGTAGCTGCAATATGTTAGATTGTGTGCAATTAATACAAAGTTTAAGTGACTTATATCTGTAAAATGTGACAACTATAAATGTAGGAACCAATGTTATTAAAGTATTCTGGTTTGTACCAAACCTACCTAAATCTGTAGAGTGCAGATGGAAAAATAGAAAAAGAAATCAGACTTCTTTCACTTTTTTTTTTTTTTTTCAGGCTAGACCAGGTGTTTACAGAAAAACAGAAACTATATTTCATAGGATAAATGGCAAAACTTAAAATACAACTTGATGGAATAATATAGAAGTGCAGGAGAATAAAGGACAGGAAAGCATGCTACATTTTAAATATAAAATTGAATGCTGAAAGTTACTTTACACTTGTCTTTCTAATTTTTTTCTGATACTGATGTCAGTGTATGTTTGCATGTGTGTATTTATGTAAGTACAAGGAGTGTAATGCATCTTTATATTTCTCTTTCTTTACGGGGATGTTTTTCAGTGTTTGCTGTCCACTGCCTGCAGATTGCTTTGCTAACATCATGCATTGTGTCTTCACCTTGACTGTGGTCTAGCTAAAGAGATAAGGGAGACATAAGGACCCCCCCACACT